CAGTGCAGGACATCCCAGGTGGACTGAATTAGTGGCACAAGTTGAAATTCTTAACATGGGTAGTTTCGCGTTGTTCTCGACAAGAGTTGTAAAATCCAATCGCGGCCTTTTCTGATATTCCAAGTTCCCAATTGAAAATAAAATCCCTACGTGTTCTTAGTCCCTTCCCCCCCTCGCCCCAGTATTTACACGAGTCCTTTAACTAACTCAGTTTTTGCAGAAGTTTTTCTTCCACTTGCCCGAACTGGACACTTACGGACATTTCCGCTATGAACTGCTCGCAGCCCTCCTTCGTCACTTGCTTGCAGTACCTCAGGTCGATCTGGCAGATATTCCCACAACGTTTGAAGTAGGACAGGCACTGGTCAGTGACCTTATTGCAGTCTGGGGGGGGAACAAAGGGCAGGAATTAACAGCCCGGCTTGGTTTGTTCTCAAACACGAGGATGTTTATCCCGTATCCCGACCGTGGTCAGTCCTTTGTGCCCCTCCCATGGAATCCCAGGCTGCTCCATCGCCCATCTCAATCCCCACGGCTGTTGTGTAACCCGTGGGATAAAGCCAAGCAGCCAGATGTGCAGAGTGCTGGACAATCCCCTGGGAGGATGAGCGTGTGCAGCGCAGGGCTCAGAACAGGCACGGTACCGCTCACAGCTGCCACAGAGGGGGTGACTGCCCTGGGAGAGGCCATTTACACCAGCAGCACATCCAGCTGCTGCCCGGGATGGGGGAGTTACACCAGGGCAGGGAAGAGCTGGATCAAACCCCTCACACAAGCCCAACACCACGGGCACTTCCCCTCCCTGTGTGTCCCTTACCTGATAAATTAATTTCCGTTAACGAATCCCGCGTGGTGGTTCCGACCGCGGTCAGCAGGTTAATAGACTGATCTGTCACGTGGTTACAGTAACTGAGATTGAGTTTGGAGAGCAGAGGCATGTGCCTGATGATCAGCCGCAGAGAGGCGTCTGTGATATCCAGCCCTGCCAGGCGCAGCTCCACGATGTTCCGTAGCTTGCTCCGGTTGTCGATCTGACCTGGAGAGTGGAGGCAGCAGGTCAGTGCCCCGAGTTCCACCCGCACTGCCAACATCTGCAGGCCTATGAAATGCACCGTGACACACAACACTGCTGCCCTAGGTCAACTTCACACCCTTCTGCCTGTCTGGAGCTTTGGAGGGGACATCAGCAGGAACACTTGTCTATTTGTGGAACAGGCACGTGGACAAAGCCACCCCCTGATTTCAAAACAAAAGGGATGAAAGTAACTGCAGGGGCCCAGCGGAATTACAAGTCGGGAATAAGCAGTAGGCTGTGCAGTGCATGCCAGAAAGCAGATCCGATTTGCTCAAAATTTCACCTGAGCTGAAATCCGGGCGAATGTGGCATGACCCACAGAACTGCTCCTTCCCTGAACTGGAAGAAAGTGTTTCCATACTCTCTAAAGTACACCCGTTGCAGCCTGAAGAGAAGAAAGTCAGACAGAAAACCAGCACAGTGGCTCAGGTGATGGTTCAGCAGCCAGAGAACATCCCTGTCACCCTGGGGCTCCAGCCAGGAGGTGCTGCAAGTCACTGCCTCGAACACCCCCGGGTCAGCACAGCCCCAGCCCTGCCGCTCCAGGGGCTCCTGCCTGTTTGCTCCGAGGGGACGCAGCAGCAGGACACGCCCCAGGGGCTGGGATGGGGCTCCCACACTCTCCTCTCCCGTTACCTGGCCGGTTGTCCGTGGGCGGTGACAGGAGGTCTCTCATTTGTGCGTCTTTCAGTCCCTCTGCCCACTGCACGTCCAGAGTCCGCAGCAAAGGACAACTGGAGCTGCAAAGTGCTGACACTGCTATCCATGAGCACCCTGATAACAGCAGGTCCCGCAGACCTGCAGAGACAGAAGAGGATTGAGTGTGTGGCCTTCCCAGAGACATCCCAGTGATCGCTGCTACCAAAGGCTGGACAACACTCCCAGCGCTCCAGGACAAGCAGGGACCCCGTGAGCCTCCTCCCGCCCAGCTCTCCATCTCTCCCACCACCTGGAACTCCCCAGCTGTGGGTGACCATCACCACCCCCTCTGCTCATCACCTCAGCACAGGCCCTTTCCACCTGTTGGCCAAGACCTGCCTCAAATTATTTTAAGCAAACATGTCAAGTAGTCACAAAAAAATAATTCTGGGCCCATTTTAACCCGCTAACGCTTCATTTTTACATATTTACACCCCACCCAGGAGAATCTACTCCTCCCCTACGACACCCAATCCCTGTAGACCTTCCCCACAGGCTGCAGTTCAGACACAAACTGGTTTGCTAAATTTGGTGATCAAAACATATCACTTACCTGGTAGTCTGTTGATAAGCCAACTCAGCTGCTTTTTAGATATATTTGTCCAGCTAAGATCAAGGGTTACAGGCTGTCTCCTAATAATGCCACTAAGCATAAGTGGAGTGATGGATTTACAATGGTTTAAATCTATTTTGGTCCATAATCTTTTGTCACAGCACCTACCCAAAAAGAAAAAAAGCCAACAGCACTTTATTTGGCACTTGTTTGGATTTCTGCAGGGCTTTAAAAGTGTCATTAAACAGTAGGAAAAACTACAGCACTTAACTGAAAATAGCAAAAATAAGGCCTAGTGATGCTAAGATATATAACATTGTGTGGTGTTGTGTTTAAGTTTCAAGTTTCTCCATCGAATACATCCTGCAATAAAGCATGGAATTATTTCCAGAGAATTACAAGTGTCAACAACTTCAGATCCCATTTTAAGTCATCCCAGCACTTAAATGAAATCTATTCTCTAGCTTGAAGACAAGCCACTGCTTCTTCCTTACCCTCTGACTATGAAGCCTGGTTTAAAATAATACCCTCATGATTTCCCCTGTGCTTTCCTTACTTAAAACCAATGCATTCGGTAAAACAGATCCCCCCTCTCCTGTTCTGTGTGTTTGTGTTATTTCTCTCCATGTGGCTTATGCATTTTTTCACTCTCTTTATGGTTCTCTAAGGGCAACAACATCAAGTCCTGACGCGTGTGCAGGAATCTGCATTTTCTCAGGTTTTTTTCCATTAGCAAATACTGTATTTAAGTGGAAAATGCATTTACAGCTTTCAGTGACACCAAGAAGCTCACAGAGGAGACACTCCACAAACTCCTCACACTGAATTATCAACCTCTCGACTTGGTCTGGACACAAGTTTTGTTGTGCTAGAAAGGAGCCTGTTACAGTCTGTCCATGTGAGCACACGCAGGAACCTGGGACGAGGCAAAACAGCCACGAGGCTTCACTGCAGGTTCAGTGAAACCTGTAAATCTGTGCACTAAAGCTGCTGCTGCCGAGCAGCCACTGACTGTGTCAGGGCTCACACAGGTATCCCGAGCACAGGGGACAGGCTGTGAGTAAGCACCATGAACAAAGGATCCCTCCATGACATGCTCTGCTGGCTCAGAACACAGGGAACAGGTTTGTTCTCCGTGTACCCTCCACAGGGAGACAATCAGCACGGCCCTTGTGAGGAGCACACCGGGGGCACGGCAGGATCCTCACTATCTCAACAGATATTTAATAGCTGAACTGAACAAACGTTGGCCATCAGCAAGTCCTGGGGCAGAATGACACCAGACTGGCTGTTCCAGCAGCAGGAACACTGTGGTGTGTGACTGCAGGACAGGCTGCTCCCGAGTGCTGCAGCCCGGCAGGCTGACGCCGAGGCTGACACAGCTCCCATCAGAAATGCTGGGAACTGCTGTTTCTGAGAAAGCACCATGAGACATGAGACATGCTGCTTCTCCAGCCACTGCTGGTCACCCCTTCTCCTCGGGCTCACCAGCGATTCAGGGACAGCCTGCACACTTCTCCAGGAGACATCAGTGCCTCCCTCACCCGCTGCCCTGCCGTGCCCATCCCACCACACACAGGACCCAGCTCATTCCCCGCCCTCCTTACCATCTGTTCCAGGTCTTGCAAACTCTCATACAGATGCACAAGTCTCTATGACTGAGGTAGCTAAAGACAGCCATCCAGACTTCCCTCTGCATCACGTGGGCTGCCCCGTCATCCAGGGGGAGCGAGTCCGGAGGGGGGCTGATGGGAGGAGGCCGGATAACGTGCCGCTCCATCTGGATGCATTTGGGGGGCGAGAGCGAGGGCGGGGGCCGGGTGATCCCGCGGGGTGTGCTGCGCAGGCTGGGGATGAGCTGGTGCCTCAGCTCCCGGGGGGTCCCGTTCAAGCCTTTGCTGAACCTGTGGAGTCTCTCGCTGTTGTTCAACGCACGCTTGGGTTCCTCGTTCTCGCTCTCGGGTTCGGATTTGATGGGTTGGTGGTTCTCATTGGCAAGGCTGTTCTCGGTTTTTTGGATCTCCTGGTTAAGCTCCTTGCTGAGCTCCTTGCTCAGTTCCTTGTTGGGAAGCCGCCTTTTCCTCCTCATCTTGAACTTCTTCTTGTCCCTGGGCTCGGCGCCCTCCGTGCTGGGCCCCGCGGTGGGCGAGCTGGACCGCGACTGGTCGCTGTCCTTGGACCTGGGAGGTGCCTCTGGCAGCTCATCCTCGGGCTCCTGCTTGAGGCGCCGCAGGGGCTTGATCATGGCAGTTCGGTCATCTGGAGCCTTCCACGATCGCCGCTGGAAGGGAAGAGACAAGGGCTGACTATTGGAGCGAGAACGTTCCCAGCAGCACTTCCCTTCCCTTCCCGTGCGGATGCTCCGCACAGGGAGCTCTGCCCAGGGGGGCTGGGCCACCTGCCAGTGCTGGGCCCCACCCATCCCAGCACCAGGAACATCCACCGGCCAAAGGGATCAAGTTCAGGTGCCAACATGGATGAGCAGTCCAGCTATTGGCTCGCTGGGCTCCAGGAGTGATAAATGGATTTATTCACCCTGCAGAATCCTGCAGATTCCAGGGCCTCTCCCATTACCCAGTGGACCATTTATCCACTGAAGATCAGCAGCTTTGTCCCCAGTGAGCCAGAACCACCCAGGCTTGGCAGACACTCACTGGGCATCCAATTCAAATTCTGCCCCAGTGATCTCATTCCAAAGGGCCATTTCTGAAACCTGTGGAATTGCAGTTCCTGACCCACAGTGTGGCTGGGCCTGCACAACCTCCTTCAGTGACCTTCAGCTGCTCTCTTACACCCCTACCAAAATCTGCCCATCCTCACACCCCCCTACCTCCAATGCCTGCAGAACAGGGAATGTGACTGACAGTCCTGATGCACCTTGGGCTGCCGAGCCCTCCTGCTGGCACCAGCTCCACGTGGCTCACGGGGCTCTGCTGGCACCTTCCTCCTGCCCCAGACCCTGCTCACAACAGCAAACTGCTCTGCACTTGCTCCCATGAATCCCATCTCCCTTCCATGCACACCAGGCAGTGTTTAAGACACATGAACCCAGAGCTCGGAAGACTTCAAGTCTAATCTGATCACTCCAAGCAAGAAAGAAGCCACGAGCTGTTAAAATGAAGTAGCTCTAATAAGAGATCTGGGCTGGCAAGAAGAGGGGAAGTGCTGTGAACACATTTGTTGTGTCAGAAGGCTCCTGTTTTTGCTTTCCCAATAAACTAATTGGATCAGGTCAGTGGCTGTGCTCCCTCCCATGCTTCACCCTGCAGAGAAAGCTGATCACCCTGCCTTTAAATTAACATATTATAAAGGGAGAGGTCACAGGAAGTTAATGACAGGTTAGAATAAAAGCATTACAGCATCAGCCCAGTGGCAGTTTGCAGCAGCCCTCACACAGGGCACTGATGAGCACTCTGCTTAAAGGCACTGGAGTTCTGATCCTGCCAGGCTGTGAGAGGGGAGCAGTACCTGTGTGCCAGGCCATCCCTGGGGGGTCAGCAGGGACCCCAGGCATGTGCTGTGGTACACACTGCTGAGGGGCTGTGTGCCAGGGCAGTATTCACCCACACAGGAAGAGCCATCAGTATAGAAACAGAACTTTTTTCCCTGGGTCATCAAAACACAGCTGGCTGCTGTATTTTAATATGGGACACCAGAAGAGAAAATATAAAACAAGACATGCAGCTAAACTACCCTGGAGTTAAAGGTTTATGTGAGAGAGATTCTGTGATTTCAAGATGTAAATGGGATAATAAGTGCCTGCAGTGCACAAGGACATGACTGAGAAACTGGCTCACCACTGAGCTCACGTGAGAAGGGACTAAAAGGGATTGAGAATCTATCTATTAAAAAGGCAAAGTACCTTCTTCCTGAAGAGTTTGTTATTTCAGCTGTTGGAAAAAAGAAAAGTAAAATCCCCAACACGAACATCTGTTGTGCTGTCTGAGAAGGTCTGGGAGTCCAAAGGGATGGGAAAAAGGGAGCATGGCCAGCAAGCACTAATGCATGAACTGGTACTGTGAATTTTGCTCTTTCACTCCACCAAAGCTGCCCCAATCCCTACACTTGCCATCCTGCAGCATTGCCACTGCCTGACCTTGCAGGACTGTGACTCCCACTCCTGGTGAGCTCCACATGCAACACAAATCCAGCCTGATTCTGACTGTACAGCCATCAGTCATGAGACAAATCTGAGCCTCTGCAAACCAGCAGTTTGGAATCCATATGACATTCAGAGTGTCCCTGCCTGGCCCAAGAGCTCTGACTGTCACATCCAGGGACAAGCTTCCACAAGGCTGCTGGGAGCAGTCCCTGCTCCCTGCAGGCACCAGAAGGTGTCATTTCCAAAGTTCCCAGTGTGGCACACTCCCAAATCAGCCCCAAAACAGCTGCCAGGCGCCACCACGTGGAGAGAGATGAAAAGGTTTCCATGAAAAATTCATTTTCACCTTGTTCCTACTCTGAGCACCTTGTAAAGATTTCTCAGTTAAAGTGGGTTTTCTAGTATTTTGAATAAAACAACAGCCATATCCCAGTGTTTTCAGCCTCTGAACATCAACCCAAGAGTCACTGCTCCAGCCACTGCCCTGTCAGACCAGCAGACTTCACAAAGGAATGTAAAACATCGCAGTTCCTTTGGGAACAACCTGGGATTTCAGGATGAGCTCTAAGCCCCAGCCAGCCCACGCTCCGTGCAAGCACACGGGATGGGTGTTGTGCCTTACCCGCTTTCTCATGGTGGGTTCCTGGGACTTCTCGAATTTCCTTTTCCTCCACAGATGCACCTCGTCGGACTTTCTCCTCAGGATTGAGTCAACTGGAGCCTTTTTGGAATGTTCCTCCGATTTCCGCCTGGGAGTTTCCTCACAGTCCCCTTTCCGTTTCGCAGCATCTGTCACTTCCTTGTTGTCTCTGTTAATTTTCTGCTCCTTCAGCAACGAGCCCGGGAGATTTGATGCGTATTTGAATCCTGGTCCGCGCTTTTGCTTGTACACCAGAGAGACACAAAACACAAGCCAACTTTATACCTTATGCATCTCTCAGCTCCTCAAGCTGCCACCAACACTCTGCTGGGTTGGTCTCTTTGTAACACACAGAACGATTACCAAGGGTTAAAGTTTCAACCTTCGTAAAGTTATTTTTTCCAAGGACACACTTGCAAGTGTCTGTCTCAGTTTGCAAAGAAATAAAGTTTCACTAATTCCAACAGACACTCTGGGTTTTGCATAATTGCTTCTGAATTTTTAATCTACTGTAAAGAATTTTCCTTGTCGAAATTAACGTGCAGCAGTGCACAGAACTAACCTAAATATTCCCCAGGTTCCGGGAGAAGCGTTGCCACATGGAACAAGAATACAAAACCAGAATCATCATGGGATCATCACAGAATCCTGGGATGCTTTGGGTTGGAAGGGACCTTGAAGATCACCTAGTTCCAACCCTCCACCATGGGTAATTAAGCACAAAACCTGAATTAAGTACAAAACCAAAAGCTGGTATTGGGCAAAATTATATTTACAAGCCAGAGGGGACGCTTGAGATTTTGTATCTCATTCCAGCACCACTTATTCCCATTAAACTCACTTTTCCAGTTTTCCCTGCATGGTTGCACTTTGGACACTCCCAGCAGTTCGGCAGCTCATCGTTAACCACACCATCTGATTCCTTCACCTGTGGGAGAGACACAACTCCATTCACGTCGTGCTGAAAAAGCTGCCCAAGTCTGCAGGCGGATCACGATCATTCCAAGGCATTCTGTACAGCTCACTGTTTTCTTGGATCAACTGCTGCCCTCCCAAGGGCTGAGCAGAGACACCCAGAGCAGTGCAGGTGCTGCACCAGCCCTGGGCCCTGCACAGGCCCCCTGTTGCTGATGACAACAGGGAGGAAGGCACTCTGGCCAAACGGGCACCTGACAAAGGATTCAGCTCTGGGCTTTTTATGAAGGTCAGTGCCAACCCCAGTTAACACATTCTGCTTTTGGAAGAACACCCCAACAGCCCAAACCAACCCCCCAAACCCCAGGACTGCAGTCACAGCATCTCCACAGATCCTCCCACACCGTGTATTTGCACATCCCAATCCCGTGTCCCCTCCCGGTGAGGCACAGGCTGATCCTTCCACAGGCAGGATTTCTCCCATACACGTTCTCACATACATTAATCCCTTTGGGCATTTTTAGCAGCAAAGCTCCCTGCACTGTAATCAAGTGTTCCTTAAAATACTTTTCTTTCTGGATCAGAACTAGCAGTCCCAGGCCTCCAGCCCTTAAGCCCATGTGCCAGTGGGAATGGTGGCTGCCAAGTCAGCTCGACAACAGGCACGTTTGTTCACAAGACCGGACACATGGAGGCATTTTTAGGGTTTCTCACACCCCCAGATCCTCAGCCAGTGTAAGGGAGAGAACGGCTGACAACTCCACTACCTCTGAGACTGACATTTTGCTTTCTGAAAGAAAGCTCAGTGTTTTATGCTCAGTGTTGTTACACTCCAATAAAAGCAGAGTCCTACCCCACGCAGCTGGAAAGCTGCTGGTTTCTGAATTTCCACACAGGAGCCTGGATTGCTTCCCAAACAGGAGATAGGTGTTTCAGAAAAGACATAAGATACACCCTCCACACAAACACATGCTCACTGATGGCACATTCCCGTTTAAGAGTTTAGTTACATATTCAGAAAAAAAACCTTGGGGGGAAAAAAAAAAGAAAAATATTAATTTATTACTACTGTAGAAAAAAAAAACCATGCTGCTGCCCAGACCAACAGCTGGGCACTGGCAGCAGCAGCAGCACAGTAGGAGACAGGAACAGGCAGAGGCAGGGACCTGCAGATTTTTCATGTTTCTGAAACATTTCCTCTTCTCCTCCCAGCTCAGGGAAAAGGTACTGGCTGTGCGGGAGCAAGCCCTTGGATTTAGGAACTGCTTCCTCAAGTCCCTGAGCCAGACAGTAGCCATTCTAGTTTCACCATCCAGTGAGAGTGATGACATGTCAGTCTCTCAGCAAGTCTCCTGGAGTTAATAAATGAGTAAATGAAGTGGGCAGAATTTAAATACTGGTTTTATCACAACTGTGTGCCTTTGAACCTTCTTTCCCATGGTAGGTGTAAGATACTCCAGGAGTTGTTGTATACATCTCTGCCTCGGGGGAACAATCCCTGGCTCGAGCTCAAGTTGGGAACAAGTTATTTCCCGCACTGAATATAGAACAAGTGCTGCTGAAGGGAAAGCATTACAGCTCTGTCCCTTCTGTGAAGTTTAAGGAACTGAACAGATGTGGGGGACTGTAAGCAAACTAATTAGACACACACAAACCTGCCACTGAATGTGTCCCAAGCCTTTCAGGCTGGGTGGGAGCCAGTTCCGAGTGTTTGTTACAAACAGCAGGGGGGTGTCGGAGCCGCAGGGAGGTGTCACAGAAACCCCCCTGCAGCACAAGGTCAGCAATCCACAGAGTGTCAACAGGAGACCTCACTGCTCTGAAATCTTCCTGTCAGGGATACGGACGCCCCAGGATGCTGATCTGGCACCTCGAGGGACAGCCAGGAATTCTGACAGTGCCAAGACTGAAACAGGCAGTGAGACACACCTGGGCTGAAGCTGTGCTGGAAAAGGCCTTGGTATTCCTGCTGTTCTGACAAGGCACCTAAATATTCACCTTCACCATAATTACTATATCCACCTGAGATGGAAAAGAATGGGCTCCTACTGAGCAACAGGAACCCCTTCTCCTTAGGGAAACAGCATCAGGTGCTGCACTCACATGTGCTAACCAGTACCAGCAATTTGGAATGTGGGAAGAAAAATTCACCACTCGTGGTTCAACTCGAACACTCCATAACAATGAAAGGTAATGTTCATCCCAAAATCTCAGGAGCTCCCCATGGAAACAGTTCTGTGCTCGTGAAACACTCCCCAAGATCATTTTCATAAGAAACTCGTTCAGCAAAACAAGCATTTGTGTTGCTGGTGTATTTTCAAGGAAAGAAACATGTCAAAACTTCCCAGGACATGGCTCAGCACATGGAACAACCTGGCTGTCCTTAATACCACTCCAATGCCAGGGATCCAGGGCTCTGGAACCCAGGGCTCCCCCAGCAAGGGAGCCCCTCAAGGCTGTGTCAGAGCATAGATGCACCTGAGCTGCCCTTAATTTAACTCCTCAGAGTGTCATCCTCTGACACTGCTGATTCATGGAGAAAACCCAGCACAAAACATGTACAGCCAAATCAGGAAGCTGGAGGGGGAGGGACTTCAAACCAGGAACAACCTGCCCAGGAGAACAAATCTCCCACTGCATGTGCCAAACTACTCCACAAGCTCTGGAGATGCATCTTGGAGGGAGTTCACTCCATGTGGGAATATGCCAGGAAAGGACATCCTCTCTTCACTGATCCAGTTTATTCCAGACTCCCCGACCCCAAGATCAGCTCAGTTGGTTAGAACATGGTGCCAATAACACCAAGATCGTGAGTTCAATCCCTTTATGGGCCATTCACTTAAGAGCTGGACTCGATGATCCTTGTGGGTCCCTTCCAACTTGGAATATTCTGTGAAATATTCAGTGACATGTACATTTGCAAGATATTTAGTTGGAGATGACCAACAGTTCACATGGTACTGCTATTTCCCAAGTGGGACAGGAAGGGACCTTCCCTTGTGGGCAGCCAAAGCAGCTGCCCTGGGGCTGGGGCTGCATCAAAGGCTATTTATGGGCTCCATCCGCTCCATCCTCAGGGCTCAAGGGCTCGAGCAACATGTAAACATGGCAACAGATTTCTGTCTTGCAGGAAATCATAGAACCTGGGAATAAAGAGTGAGGAGGGATCCAAGGAAGAGACTCCATTTTCCTTTTGCTGTTCCCCTGAGCAGCTTCATCTCTCCTTCCAAGACAATTCTCAAATCCTAACAGTGCCCTTTTGCCTCAGTAAATAAAGAGTCCCAGTTACCTACAATTTCAGCTCAGCAGAAGCACTGAGAAATCAAAATACAAAGACATCAGACACACAGTAAATCTCCCACTGCTTAATTGTCAGAAATACCCAAAGCAACATTGTTCCTAGTTACCTAAAGAGCACTCAGACCACCATGCAGGTGTAAGAGAACAAACAGCACTTGTCTGATTTCACAGACCTGACCCACATCCTGTACACCTAGTCCCAAATGTAGTATGAGGAGAGGAAACAATACTTGAGCTGCCACGAGACAACAAGTGCGTCCTCTGGACTCAGCCCTGAAGTGTCACTGACACTGCAAAGCCAGCAATGGGGGAGCACAGGGCACTTCCAGCAAGGACAGGGAACAGCAAAGCAGCCAAAATTAAGGCACCTCTGACAACAAGCAGCTCCTTCCCCTCCTTCACCAGCCCCCGAAGCCTTGTTCTAGGCAGAGCCAAACAAGCAAAGCTCCCTTTCAGAGCCCATCTGTGGCAGGAGCTGTGAGCACCAGTTCCATGAATCAGGGAGACAGGCACAGCTCTGCTTTGCCAGCTCCCCATGTTCTGCTCTAATAAACGACAGCACGGGGCTTGGTGCAACACCACATACAGAGCCAAGGAAATGAGAGACCAGGAGAGCTTCACCCCAGGCCTGCATAAGGAACAGACATACCTCTCCTCCCTGAGATCCCAGAAGGGCCCAAAAGCTGCTTTCTGGGGCATGGTGTGTTAGAACACATTTGCTTTGGCAAATCACTTTAACCATAAACAAATCAGCAACAGGAAATAGCTGATCAGCTGAAAGAAACCAGCTCTGGAGAAAGGCAGCTTCTAAATGCTAATGCACAAGTTATGCCCAAAATGACACTTCTGTTACCAGCGAAGAATACAGCTGCTCACAGGGCTCGAGTCAGCCAAGGGTGAGCACTCCTGCAGCCTGACACTCGCTCAGGCTGTTCTCCAGAGCTGCTCTCTTCATACTCCAACACTTGCTCATAACATCTTTGGAGCCAGCTGCCACCCAAAGGCACATCTGTGCCTGGGCCAACACGAGCAGCAAACTGCTCCTCTGTACTGTGGGACACGGGGAGGAGCTGCTGACACAGAGTTGGGGCTATCTCATCCAGAAGGACAGGCAGATTGCTCTGTCCGCCCCATCCCAACTGAAACAACTCACTTCCTTAAACAAGAGGCAAAAAGAAAGAAAAACAAAACAAACCCACAAGACCTTTGCATGCACATCCCCCTCAGGGCCATCCAAAGCCAGCCTCTGTTCACAGGGAATGCTGCTACCTCAAGGACCCCACCTGCCAGTCAGGGCTGTGTTTCACTCTGCTCTTCACACCAACTCTTTGCTCACTTAAGTGTCCAAAGGTGAAAACCTAAAAGCTTCTCATTTTCTGTGCACTACATTTACATGAAGGTGATAACTAATGCAGCTTTTGTTTCCAACATGTATCACATCCTTGTACTCACCTTAAGGCATCCTGGGTGTATGATTTCATTACAAATGGAGCATTCCATTAGCATGAGATTAAACTTGCTCTCCTCCTCTTCCACAGTGTCCTCCTTCCCAGCTTCTCCACACACCAGACACACAGCAGTATGAGGCAACACCGGCTGTTTATGTATCAGAAAGAATAGATCAGGACACAGAAACAGAAGAACTCAATGTGCATTTACAGTATCCTCATTTCAAAGAGGAGATAAATAGGGATTAATTGTGCAGACTGCCATGAAGGCAAGAAAAACTGGTAACAAATTGGGGCTGGGTATCCAGACCAAGCACCACAGGAAACGTTTCATCAAAGTGCCCTCCCTGCAGCAACACAGATTCAGGGAGCATTCCAGGGATGGATGAAAATGCATTTTTGGAGGGTTCCTTGAATCTGTGAGCTAACACAGACATTGGCATGCAAGTCACTTCACCAGTGTACAATGGGAGGGGAAAGAAGCAACCTAGAACATCACTATTCACATCCATTAGCTCTGCAATCCGAGCGGCACTTTGGCAGCTCCCCTATTTTACAGGCAGGGCAGACAGATGTTATGGGACCTGATCCAGGTCTCACAGCAAGCCCACAACAGAACCAAGAACAGACCCTTTACTGACTGACAGTCCATTATCCAGGGCCCTGCTCCCAACCTGAGCACTGCAAAAACCTCTGCACTTAGAAAGAGGATTCTCTCCTGCAAGTGTCACAAGTGGGATCACACTGATTTTTTAGTTTTCTCTTCTGCTGAGGCAGAAGGGGAACTGCAGCATCTCACAGATCTGTCACCCATGTCAAAGCACTGAAAGCCACTCTAATTAAAAAGCCACCTTTCTGGTAATGATTAACAAACTTCTGCTTTGCAGCAATAAGGTATAATAAACCTCATTACAAAAAGGAAAAGGAAGATCCTAAACTGGCCATAATGGGAAGTGCAATCGATTAGGCTGCAAGTCCTTAACCATTACACAGCCAGAGGCAGAGATGTGGCTTTTCATGGCAAGATCTCTTGTAGAGATATAAAATAAAAAATAGTCTCTAAGTGGATACCTGCACACCAACCCAAATTTTGGCAGCAGCAGAGCATCCTTCAGCACATTTCAGCCCGGGAGAAGCCCAGCTGCAGTAAGGCATTACAGGGCACAGTGCTCTGCCCCACACCCCAACACCTGATCCATTAGCTATGGCAACACTTCCCTGCCTTCTCCTGCCAGGACTTACCCACGCTCCACTTTAAAAGTATTCTGCAAATACTATTTCATTCCCACCCTTCCTCCAAGCACAAAATAGGAATCCCCAGGATCACCAGCAGGTAAACCAGAGAAAAGCCAAGTTGTCCAGGGCTCTGTCCACTTGTTTTGTCTGATCTCCCACACAAGTATTTATATCCACACCCAAGAGAAACATCCCAGGAGCAGGACAGTTTTTCTTGCTGGGAGCAAGGGTGTCTAGGGAACCTCCTCTGTGCCCCACTGAAGGGCTGGAACAGCAGCTGCACTGTAACAGCTCGTCCTCCCAGAGCCCCATATTCCCTTCAGACCCATTGCATGTAGCAAAATGTGTCCCAGGCACTCCTGCCTCCCTTCCTGACTGAACTGGTGACGCAGAGGAGGTTCCTGCTCTCCGAACAGCAGTACAGTCAGCTCTCTCAAGGCTTCTGAGTTTAATGAAAGTCTGCATCTAGTTAATATTGTCAATGTTATTAACCAGAGGAAAACACAATCCCAGAACTGCAGGGATCATTACTTCCACAGAGCCTCGCTTCCACATCTTTTCAGCAGGTTTTTTTGGGGCTGGAAGCTGTTTGATAGGTACCACAGTATATTGCTACTGAATTGCTAGAGAACAAGAGAAAAGTTAACAGGATTGCTTGTAGAAATGTAAAGCACCTTAAAAGTTACAACAGTTCAACTTGTCAATTTTCTGGGCCTTTGCTGCTCTAAGAGAGTTTTTAATAATCCCCCTGATACTTACACCAACCTACAAAGGGCAGAGATGTTATTTTCAATGCATGTGAGGGCAGGACAAGTAATCAAGAGTCCCCTGGTTAGCAAGCTCTAACCACAGCTTCTGGAAATTAAACTCTAGGCACCAAGAAGAAAAATAAACCTTCATTGGAAGAAAGAGGGTGACTACACTCAGCTAGAAGAGAACCCAGATCATCTCCAAAAGGCTCAGCCTGTGTTATCAAGAGTGGAACAGCTTAGTATGAAAGTTTCCTTCATCAGTGAGGATGAGAAAGCTCACTGCAGCCCTAATTTAATCCTTCCACTAAAAAGGCAGCATGATTTCACTACTTCTTGCCCCTGGAGAATAATAAATTCTTCATCCATGCTGTTCAATTCATGCCACACTCCAGGAAATCAAGTGTTCAAAGAAAAGACACTGGAGCTGCAAAAGCACTCTGCGGAAAGGTGGATATTCTGTGTGCTTTACTGAATGATCCAGCAGTGCTGAATCCAATCCTCTATGTCAGGAACAGTGCAGAGCTTAGAACAGGACATGGAGTGAGCTACCAGAAGCAACTACTGGAAACCTGCAGCACTTATCAGTTTCTTATCAGTGTCAGGCAAAGTCATTTAATGTCTCCACTTCAGCCTTCTCATCAGAATTAAAGGAAAAAAAACCAAATACTAAGTGAAAGGAACTGGAACAAGAGAAATCAGTAGAGATGGGGTGATATTTCAGTTATGAATAAACAACATTCCTTTCTTTAAAAAAACAACAACAAAAGAAACCCGAACCCTAAACAATAGCATAAACAAGACCTTCCAAAGAATTAAGATAAAAGCTAAAGCTGATTTTTAGCCTTGAACAGAGGCACTGCAGACATGAGACTGGAGAGAAGCTCCACAACAGTCAGCACGGCAGCAACGGATTCAAAAGCTGCTTGAACAACTTAATGGAAGATTAATCTGTCAATATTTGTTAAATAGAAAGCTATCACCTGTGACTCAAGAAGCTTCTAAGCAATGTATCACAGGAGCCCAGGAACAGACTCCCTGCTTGCCCTGTTCTGATGCTCTTTCCCTGACAGCCATTTCCAGTCCCTGAGGAAGACAAGACCATGGATTGATGTCTCATCTGGATCAGACCCTCTGCTCTATGCCTAGGTAACAGCAACCAAACTGAAATTCAGATCTCAGGTAGCCTGGGGCTGGGGTCACCAACACCAACATCTTGGAGGATGTTGGTCAAAGATTTCTCCACATCTTAATTTGGTTATGTAGTTAAGATGGTAAACATGGCTGCAAGGCGGTTTTTGCTCAGGAAATTTTGAGATCCAAATATGCCTCTTCTCCATTTGAATCAGAACTCCCCACTCTTCCCCTTCTCCCCCAACCCTAGTGTTTCAGTGTGATCTGAGGGACAATTTCTGATGTACTGATAATCTCCACTTCTCTACTGCTGAGAAGGAAAGCTGTGCTATCAAGTTTTTAGTAGCATTGTGGTTTAAGATTTGGGGAGGATGAGAAGTGCTGGGAAGAAGGGATCTGAGCTGAGAGGGCAAGGATTACACATCCCCTGATGCACTTCAAGACTCCTCAGAGCGGAGCGGAGGTGTCGGCTCCCCACCCCGTCAGCAGCCAGCAGAGCGAGGAGCAGCTCCAGGCACTCACCGCGATGCACTGCCTCATGATGCAGGACTGCTTCATCCTGCCGGGGCCCCCGAACTTCTTCATGTCCTTGCAGAAGTGGCACTCGCCGCACTCCGTCCGCAGACACGCCTCGCACTTGCGGCATCGCGTCCTCCTCCGCCGGGCGCCCGCGGTCGTCCGGTTGGCCGCGAGCTTCACCGCAGAGGCCGGGCCCAGCTTCCCCTTGGGCCGCCCGACTGCCCTGTTCTGGAAGAGCCAGACACACACAAGGTCAATCGCACATCCCGCTTCCCAGGTAAACCACAGGACTTTCGTGGACGGGAGTTGTGGGCACCTCGGGCAGAAAACCGACAGGTGTTACCGGAATTGCAAACACATCGGTCATTAACACTCGGCAGAGTCACAGCATCGCTCTTAGAGCTCAAGGAGTGCTGTTAACTTTCCACTAAGAGACGAACTGTAAAAAGACAAAGAAATGAGGACATAAATGAGAGATCCCAAACCCAGAGCAAGCCCAGTCCAGGAGGAGGGCAGGGAGAATCCATTTACACACAGCTCAATGCAGGACCAAGTCCCGAGCAATGTGCTTGTCTTAGGTCAAGAGATTATCTGTGTCAACACTGAGCTCTTAGATTTGTGCTCAGGTTAAGCCAGAAGGTCTGCTTTCCTCCACTGGAAGTGGAAGAATCCAAAGGGGCAGCAAAAGTAATTTTGAGGTTACAGCAGAGAAACACCCAGTAATGGTCAAGCCCCAGCAATCTCCCTAAAAAATCAGGAGACCATCAACTACTGTCAAGTGATTAAGTAGGAAATAAAACACAAATGCTAAAAAACCCTTCCAAAGTAGCTCCCCTCATATCCAACACCAGCAAGTGCTCAAAAATAGAACACCAACTGATGCTGTGCAAAGGCTAAAAAGGGCGTCCCAGGTCTAGATTTCCATGACCTTTAAGAGAGAAGCTAAAGGAGCATGAAAAGATTTGAAATGATTAGGTTAACTGCAACATATTCACTCTGGACATCCAAATTTAATGTTCTCATCAGAAACTCCCTGTTATACACAAGAACTTGCAGCTCAAGCCAAACTTCACTAAATACCATGTAATTGTATGGGGCTAATTATGCAAGAATTGGCTTGGCTCATTCTGACCACTGACAGCTTTCTTCATAAAGATGATAATAACAGGACTGCAAAGTTCATCTGGTTTAGCATTTATACAACTTTTCCACTTTCTGCACATCTCAGCATCTGACCAGCAGACCAGGCAGTTTCACTTTCTGTTCCAGCTGAATTCTGGGCAATCACCAAGGCAGGGGCAGGTTGGCTGTAGGAAGCCATGAAGAAATTCCACCACAGATTTTAAGAGGTGTGGAAATATTTCCACTTGGTTCTACAAAAGCCTCCCTAAGTGTCCTGCTACACAACCCTGAAGAAAAGCCACACTGCTGAGTATTTGATCTTCCTCCCAGCTGACTTAGCAAAGCTCCAGTGACTCTCTCTAAGCTGCAGAAGAGTGCTGATATTTTAACAGCCTCCATCCCAGGAATCTCGGTGCTGAGAGCACAAAGAAGCCAGAAGTTAGACTCCTTAAGCTTTCTCTCCTACAGACCTACTGTAGGTGGGAGAAAACATAGTCCATGAGGTTACACAGATTTCAGCAAGTTTTTAATTCCACTTCTCAGGAGCAGATTTTGCTCTGTGTGCAGGTTGAATCCCCCTGTGCTGTGTGAAGACAGCACAGCTTCCTTCCTATCCCCAACCACACCGGCCGCCTGGATTTCAGATCAATGTCAGACACTCTAAAGAATAAATATTTACCTCCTAGACCAACTTTCCAGCCTCTCAAGGATAAAGTCGTCTCTGGCAGGACTGGCTTAGAGGCAACCTAGATAAGAGATAATTTTCTTCCTCGGCATGAATCACTCCTCCGTTCTCTCTATTAGTCTCCTTCCACTAGGAAGGGACATCATGAACCAAGGGCTGGATATCAGCGGGAACAAGTTAAACCAAAACATGTACAACAACTTGGGCAAGTTCCCCTCGGCCAACAGCACATGGAAGACAGTGTGAGCACCTGACTTCTTCCCATGGGATGGAACATGATTAAGTTTAAGGAGGCAAACAACAGCTCCAACACCATCAGAATGGTGTTTTTAAAAGCAATTGCTTTCAAGGAAAAATCAAACTCAGTGCTTTTCCAGCTGAAACACAACTCCTGCTTCTGCCACAGTAAAACCAGCCAAGTCCTAATTCTGAGGACAGCAGTTTAAGTGCCAGGACACTACAAAGATGCGAGAGGTAAAAAGGCATCACTTGAACACAGAAGCTGAGAATCCTAAAAAAAAACCCCACAAAAGTAGGAAGATGAAGGTACAAGAACAAATCTGAAGCCAGACCGCAGTACACAACACCGATTTCCTTACAGATCAGCAGCACAGGGCAGAGGTGCAGACCTGGATCTCACTGTATCCAACACTTCTTAACTACCCAGACCTCTTCACTGCTCGTTAACATGTTCAAGCAATTGTACTAATTCACCAACCTACCAATCCTCAATCCAAGCCACATTTTCACTCCAGGATGTCGAAGCCAGCAAGGCTAGAGAGGCCTTGCAGGAATTCCCACTAGTATCCAGTTTCAAGGGGCTCCAAAGTGGGCGCTTAAAAACCTCCACAGAAGAAAATCTGGCCTGTGGGTTGCTATCCCAGAAAGGGGCTGGGATTCAAGGGGGTAGAAGGAGCCTCCAACATGGCTTGGGGTTTATTTAGCACATGGCAGACAGCCAGACGAATTCCAGGTCGATGTTAGTGAGGAGATGCTGCAGGATTTCCAGCTCAGACTGCAGTTTTACAACGTACCAGCCCTGGTAGTGAATCGAGGTAGATTTCCTTCCCAGCTCATGTCCTCATCTCTGTACTGCAACTTGCCACCCTCCCAGCACAACTCCATGAATTTGTCTTGCAAATAAAGAGCGAGCGGCAGGGGATGGCAGGACTCCTCATCCCGGGTTTACCGCGGTGACCAGCAAACAGGAGCTCCACGGCCTCAGGCTCAGCAAGCCCCAAACTGGCTTCAAGGCCAACAGAGTCTCCTCCTGTGTGGCAGATCCCACCATCTCCTTTCCCAAGGAGGTGATACCTTGAAGCACAGCCTGTGCCTGCTGGCTATGTAGCCCCAAGCAGCCACCTCTAAGAACTGCCAAAAAACCAAAGATTGTACCAAACTTGAAGACTTTTTTTTCCTTAAACCTAACAATAGAAGCCCAGGAGCTGAGACAGAGCCTGCCTGAAATACCATCACCAGCCATCCCCTACGTTCTCCAGCACCTCCACAAAACTGTGCTCATTCTACTGTGGTCACACCAAGTCTTCAAAAGAGAGGCAGGAGGATGCTGAAGCGATGACAGCCACTCTGCCAAGCTCCCAAAGGCCACTCTGCCAAGCTCCCAAAGGCCACTCTGCCAAGCTCCCAAAGGCCACTCTGCCAAGCTCCCAAAGGCCACTCTGCCAAGCTCCCAAAGGCTGTGCAAGCAGCTGCTGAAACATATTAGGATTAATATCCTAAATCCCCATCTCTATCACACTGAAACCTAGAAAGCTGCTCTGCCTTCTAGACATGTGAACAGGACACCCTGCTGGGGTTCCTCCCCAGATTTGTCCTCCCCAGATTACTGCTGTTACACCCAAAGGTAACTTGCTCCTGTCCCTGAAGCAGACACAGCATTTGGGTAGTGGGAGTAAACTTGGGCCATCAAATGTAATACACTATGAACTACAAAGCCATCTACAAATCATAAAGTTGGGCTCACCCTCCCACACCACAGTGCTTAAACACACCCACTCCTCACACAGGAAAGGGGACAAGGTAGCAAACTCATTTAAACTCATTTTCTGAAGTGCTGAGCTCCTACAGATCCCACCAAATTCAGTATGTTCCAGGTGGACTGGGTGGGGTGGTCATCAGCAATTCCACTCTTTCAACAGGGTTGTGCAGATCTGGGAATAAGCCCAGGTACAACACTTCCAACTCTAAATCAACCCCTAGGAAATACTACCTGGAAGTCACTGCTCAGAATATTAGTTTATCTTGGCTATGGACTAACAGTTGGCTGCTGGGAAGTTTCCACTGCCTGCTTACAGGTACCTCAGCACACTTTCACCACATGTCACAGCCTGCTTGGCTGCCACTGAAAACCCACCGACCATCACACCTGAGTCAGAAGGACCAGAGGCACCAAAGAAGGGCCTCTACCCTGAGCACAACCCTTACTGCAACAGAAACACAACCCTGATGTTTACAGCAACAGATTTCTAACATTCACAGTTACAAAGAACAACTCAAAAGGCAAACAAAAATAGCAAGAACATCAAGTTTTGAAGACAACAGTCCAAGAGGTATCAGCTGTTAAATGCATCATTAAGTAGGTGCTGATGCTCCCTAGCTGCTGTCCCAACAACTGGCCTCTGTTGGAGATGTCACCAGGCAGCTTTGCCTACAAACTCTCCTGCCCTGGAGAGGAAAACCAGCTGACCTTGAAACCAAGTCCAGGAGGAAGGAGGTCCTGGCCCTCAAAGCAAGGCTGACAAAGTCTTCAGCCTAGAAACAGGCTCTTGAGAGTGACCTTTACCTGGGCACAGGTCTTATTCCACCACTCAGTTTCAGTGACCTGCTTAAACTGTTGCCAGCAGCACCAAGCCATTATTTCAGACTCAATATCTCTGAGAAAAACACAGAGACATGCACAGGGCCCTTCTGAAGAGCTTCTCACGTGGCCAGCTCAGTGAGACCCTGAAGCACTTCACTTTAACCAAGTACAATCTGAACAGCTCACGTAGTAACCACTGCGTAAACCTCCCCAAGACAAGACATCTTACGTGCACAGTGGTCACTGCCTCAAGGTGCTGTGCACACAAATACATCCCTTTCATTTGCAAGACTGATGATTTCCTTCTGTAACACGTGGACAAATTCTGACTATTCTCATTTACTGTAGTTTGACCAAGTCAACACAACCACATGAGCACCCAAAGGTGAGGATCCAGGACTTGTCGGGTGCCAGTCCCGCACCTAGAGCTTTATATGGCACTGCATCCCAATGCAATTGTTTTAACAGAATTAGAGTAGCCAAATTTAATTACCAGATCCTTATAAGATCTGATAAATAAACCCTAGGGGAAAATAAAACAGAAAAACCCCCATCAAAAAACCAAGCCACACACATTAACCCATGATTCATAACTAAAAC